GTTCGTGTTCTTCACTACGTTAAGCTTACGCGCCGTACACTCGAGTTTGAGCTGGGTGAGCGACCAGTCATCGTACGACTCCGAGGTTGGCACGGGCACGGGCTGCTTGCGTCGGCTCAGCAGCGCTGCACTGACTGTCCATGTTGCTGGCGCCGCCATGGACGAGAAGAATGTCCTATCAGGAAGCTGAACGAACGCGCAAAACGAAGCTCGCAACAGGAGCTCTGACGCAAGGGAAACTTCAAAGGAAACTGTAGCCATGACGCGAGACCTGGTTAGATTGCGATCCGGTTCGGAACCACCAAAAGCACCTCACCAGGGCGTCGCCTAACCCTCGTTGCCCCGTGCGGCCTGCGATCCGATCCGACCCCGGTTCGGAACGGCCCTCAGTCTCCTGAGCCGCCGGCGCATATAGCGGCCGCCCCGCCCGACGCGCGCGCCGAGCCATCGCGCCATTCGCACCAGGCGCCTGCTCCACCGTCCCGCTCTGCAGACTACCATGTACCGCGCGCTCAAGAAGCCTCACGCGCGCCAAGAGTTCCCGATTCGACTGACGAGTCTCAGTCGCAGTCCTCACGGCCTTTGCAGCCGCGTCCTGGGCCTCCTCCGCCTCCTGATACGCCGTCCAGAAGCTCCCCGCGAGATCTTCCTCGCGGCTCCCAACCAGAACGTCAGTCGTATCAGCGGGACGGTCCCCCGCCGATTGTCGACTCAGCTGGCGAGATCCGCTGGATAGTCGAGAAGATTGTCGATCACAAAGACCCGCCCCGTCGGTCGGGGCAGCGCCATGTGTCCACCAGTCGCACGGCTCCCGCCGCGCGCCGCTATAGCGTACGATGGCTTGGCTTTCCGGCGGACCAAGATACGTGGGAGCCCCGCGCGAATCTCCTTCGCGATGTCCCGGATGTGATCCAAGCGTACGACTCCAGTCTTTCTGCGCCGGAGAGCGTCGCGAATAATCACGCGGCGGCCGAGAACGAGATCTCCAGTCTGCACGACCACGCGAACGTGATCGAGAACGACGCTGCTGGCGATCGCGCGATCGCGACCGAGAACGACGACCCGAGTTCTCGTAATCTAAACGGAGCGGCGGAGATGCGCTTCGTCGAGATGAGTGTCGGCGCGAGCCGGCGCGGCTAGCGGCGCTGGCCTTTTCGGACAGCGAGCGACGGTAACGCTGGATCCAGGCATTCTCGCGATCACTAAGCGGATGCTCGGCGACATGGGCTCTCCACTCGTCCGTAGTCGGGCGAGACGACACACACCTCCTGCAGCCTTCAGCAACTCGCACGTAGCAGATGCGGTCGTCGGCGTTCCAAGCGCTGTCGCAGATTCGTACGCGCAGCTCGCCCAAGGAATGGCCCCCGATGATTTCTTCCCGGTATGCGATCCAGTCGACGAGATTCTCTTCCTGCGCTTGCGTCCGGTTCCAGCGCCGGATGAAGGCGCACCACGACTCCTGTAGCGCACTGTGGTCGACGCCGTCCACCGGCTTCGGGCGCAGCGCACGAAAACGCCGGAAGAGGTCCTTCATCTCGTCCAGAGACTCCGGATCTTGCGCTTTGGAGATGTCATACAGGGCCCAGGGTCTCAGCGCCTCGTCCATCACGTGGGTGCCGCGTGCCGCGGTCGTCGCGCTCGTCAGCGACGTCGCCGTCGCTGGAATCTGCTGCTGTTGCTGTTCCATCGTCCGCTCCTGTTGTCTGCTGTACAAGTCGTGTTGTACTTCTCCTGCGTGGCGCAGGATCTGTCTCGTCCCCGCCTCGTTCGTTCCTGTTGGCCACGATTTTCTTCTCGTTTCCTTTTTGATTGATTTGTTCCCCGCCCGTCGCTTATGTTGCGTAAGTGCAACTTTAAGAGGGGGGTGATGTAGTGGGCCACGCCATTACATAAGTAGGTAGATTTATATTACAAAAGTAGGTGCAGCAGCACACGGCTAGCGTGTGCTGAACTGCCGTCATCCTATTGGTTGATATATGGGGAGCTAGACCCATTATCAGCCAATAAGGGTTTGACGTGTATTTGAGTGGTCAGGGCAAGCTGCCCTGGACCTAAATAAAAACAGAGTTGATTTTCCTTCAGACTAAGCACTTGGTTTCACTATCGCGGAACTTGCACGCTTCCTCATTATTACGTGTAAGCTAGTAACGGACACTCTAGGCCCGTTACATATGTATTCGGTTGAAGTTAGCTTGCTGCCTGCTTTCCAATAAAATCAATCGCTTTATACAAAAAGCGCATACGCAAGTACGGCAACAGGTTGTATAGGCAATCATCCCACGAGGCACCAATAAGCAGGATTTCGAATATGGTAATGCACCACACTCCGCACAAGCTGCCATCCTTTTGTTTGTAGTACTCCACCTTCTCAAAAGTCAGCATGTCTTCCATATGTAGAAGTCCCTCGATAGCGGAACGTACGCTACGCTCGACGGTAGTGTAGTTGTGTTGGCTCTGTAGGGGTCGAACATGAAGCAGACACCCTTGTTCGTTTCAGGCAGGATGTGTCGGTCCACTAGGAATGCAACCCAATGATTCCCCACGCTGAAAATTTAATGACACGCTGGTACTGCAGATTCCCAGCTCCAAACCCTCCCGCCACGCGTTTGCGTTGCTCTGGCTTAACAAATTCGTGAAAACGGGGACTAACAAACCCTATATCTGGGTATTCATCACGAAGAACCATCATGGATACCAGGATAGACGTCGTATGAAGCCACAAGTTTTCGCGAAAGTCCAGGAGCTGACGCCCCGCGAAAAACTAACCAGGAACTCGATTGACTCCTAGGGGAGAGTTGCTACGTAGTTTTTGGGCTCATTCTTTTTGTACATTCATAAAATTTGGTTAGCTACGGTCTAGGTTCGGTTAGTTTGAAGGACCACACGATACCTTAGTGACGCTGCGTGCATCTGAAAATGGTTTGCGAATGTCAGATACACGACATTCCACATCGTCGATCCAGCACAACGTCCGCATGACGAGATTGAGGTGATTGCGAGCTTCAATGACACTTGCCATGCCATCGAGCTGGTCAAACGCTGCAAATCCGTAGTCAGGCCAATAAGCAAGCAGATCAATATCGTTCCTTATCTTGATTGTTTTAATAGCTTCCATGATTTGGTTCATCAGTGGGATGGATTTCACGACGGGGATGCCTTGCCCGACCGCGTATGACCTCGCTGATAACTTGCCACGCACCTCAACGGAAGAAAGCACGAGAGTGTCTAGCATCGCTTTTGTGCGGAAGATGCTGTATGGACCATCGAATAGCGCAGCCACTTCGTCAAAACTTGCCTGCTTTCCCACCCGTTCTTCTCGATATTTTGTTACTAGCACGATTGCCTTTTTGTAGTTTACCTTGGTCTTCGCTCGCTTGCACTGTGCTTTAGTTATTCCATTAACTAGCGGACGCTCAGCAAACTTCGACTTAGCCCCGCCACGCTTGGTTTTCGAAGTGGTTTCATTTTTTGGTGCTGCTCTCCCTGTCTTTATGATGAATTCGTTCTTCTCTAACTTTCTCCTCGAGGAGCGAATCAACTTAGCTACTATTGAGAGGGGCATCGCTGCTGCGTTGTGTTGTATCACGCCTTACCACTTTGCGCTCATTGTCTCCTTCCTGCCGCACGCCAGTGTCGTCTCCATATTTAGTACTTGGCTGCTCTTCCACAACAATCGAATCCAACGGTCAACTGGCTTCCCTGACAAACGACAACTGCGAGAGCGTCGCAGCACCAACTGAAGAGGCTTCAGAAAACCCTTTAAACAGCGTGTCATTCTTGTGATAGAACGCCACAACGGTGCCATTTTTCAGTGCTTCGTAGAACTCTTCCATCCATGGTATCGCAACTCGATACGTGGGTGTCGACTGCAGCGCCATGCGATCAACGCTTATTTCGGATAGAGCCTTCGACTCGGTGTATCTCGAAGTCCTTGAGAGAGCTTTTTCTTTTGGTAACGGGGCGCACGAGACTTGGCGAAGTCCACCGGGAGAGACTTCTCCCTCGGCAATATTATTTACCGGACTGTGAACGATTCACGTCGTGAAAATTAAACGCATTGGAGGGAGAACGGTCTCATATTTGCACCTACTCCTTACGAACATTACGTGACGGCACGGTAACAGACCTTTTTGCATGAAGACGCAGTTACATTGACTCCGCTGCATCACAGAGCATCAACGTTATCAAAAGAAAAAAATAAGCCAAAAATAAATCAAACCAAAATGGATACCTGTGTGTCGACTTCATACGTAGACGAGCTCATTCCACTCGACACTACCGCTGTGCTAGCGTTTTCCATGCTCACAGTGTAGTCAGCACCAAGGCCTGTAGCAAGCGTGTGCTCCTCCGAGGCAAGTCTTGGCGCGAAGTCACTGATTTGCAAGGCTAGCGCTGCAAGCTCAGGGTCCTCGTTAAGTCCACTTGGTCTCACTGCCACGCGGTTAAATTCTGCAATATACTGCTCTTTAGCTTATTCTTGTAGGGTAATAAGGGTCGTCACAAGCAGGTCGATTGTAATGGTACGACGAATGCCGGCCGGTAAGAAATAATCCAAGTCCGAAAAACACTTGGTGGCAAAGACCTCCAAATACATACTCGCTAAAAAGTCGTTGCACCGAAGCTGTGGAAGGGAGAAGTACGCAATCATGCTAGTGATTGTCTGGGCTTCACGCCAAGAAAATTTTTGGCCATATAGGGCCACTGGAAGAAGGATCACGACCGAACCTTTGCCTCGGTTTAGGTCTTTTAAACGAAATTGTAGTTATGTTTAAAACTTAGCGTTACACTGGTCGTACTTCAAATCATGCCAGACTATAGGACCAAACCCGGCTGGTAGGCCCCGTAAGCATGAGGAAAGCCTGCATCCTTTGGTACGTAAGCTAGGTTCTGACATGAATAAAAGCAGTATGCCTATTGCAGCTCCAAAACTGGCGAAGCGGCTTTTTCACGAATTTGACATTTTAATTTCTGTGCGGTCTTTGCGGCGAGTGCTCCGTCGAATGGGAATGAGGTTCATTAAGGGGACCTCTCGCAACATTTTAGCTGAATCGACAGCTAATGTTTCTTTTTGCACACAATGTTTAAGGAAAAAAGTCGCCAATCTGAATAGGCGGAGCTTTCCTATTCGTCCGGAAGTGTTTCTGGACGAAACATTCTGCAACTTGAACCATGTTGCTCAGCTTTCATGGGTTGATGAAGATAAAATCCGATATTCAAAAAGTGCTAGAGGCCCCAGGTGCGATATTATCCTTTTTATTGCTTTTGTATTAATATTTTGGATTGTTTTTAGCATTTTTTGTTATTTTTCTGTTGTTTTCGCGACTCGAACAGGTTTTGCATTGTTGCTGCCGGCATTGTTCGTCGCGAAAAAAAACGGAATGGTTGGGCAACTGCTAGAACAATCGAGAGAGGTGCGGCAATCCAACCTAAAACGAAAACACGATGACAACTACCACGGAAATTTCAACACAGAACAATTCGAGAGATAGTTCGAAGACCTATGTGCACATTTAGCCAGCAAATATGGTCCTTGCAACATACACATGGATGGCGCGAGCTATCACAAGAACCAAACAAACTCTGCCCCCAACTCGAGAGCTCTCAAAAACGATATGGAAGCATGGCTTGAATAAAAATGTGTGATTTTATCTTTTATGCTGACTTATTTAAAAGGTTTAACTTTTTTTCTCAAATTAGAGATTTGGTACGACGTCAGCTACACTAAAGCTGAGCTGATAATGCTTGTTCGTGCCAACAAGCCTAAACCAATCTACAGGGCTACATAAATTGCTACTTCACCTAGCCATTTGGTATATTATACTCCGCCATACCACCCCAAACTACAGCCCATTGAACTTATTTGGGCTAACATTAAGGGCGTCATCTCGGACGACCCTGCTTCCGATATGGCGGAGCTTCGTTCCAAGACTGACACTGGATTTGCATCTCTAGTCTTTGATACCTGGCCAGGTGCCTATCAGCACGCTCAAGAGTACGAGCAAAAGTACCTGCAGTTGGCGGACGAGTGTGAACTCGTATCCGATTCAGAAGATAGTGAGCATAAAAGCTGTGAGGACTGTCAGTGACTGACCCGTTGGCTGATCTATACCCCAAAACATGCCATTTTAAAGTTTTTCTAACAAATATACAGTTTTTTTACAATCATGATAAAGGACCAGATTATCGTAATATTTTCAAAATGATTGTGAATCTCCATCTGCTATCACAGATAAGCCAATAAAGGAGCTCAAGTCATTGTACGTGGCATATTTTCAATTGCAAATAATTTTACAACAAATAATGGGCCTTTTTAAAAGTCAGAATGAAGGGAAAGGGCTTCAAAATTGCAAAATGGGACTGCAGATTCGGACTTAGAACCCATTTTACCCTATATATCTAAATGTCGATATAGATTTTGTAGAAGGAAATAGCGTTTTTTGGGTGCAAAGTCCGTCCGAGGTTTGGTGGCCGGGACAATAGGGATTTCGCGGCAGTGGCCACTGCCGCGTCACACACCCAGCACGAGGTCGATCTCGTGCTGTATTCCCTTGTCCTGCGGAAGTTCCGCAGGAATCGCTTCCGGGAGCACATCCTTGTGCTCCAGCAGAACATCGTAGAAGGGACTCGACTTCAATGAGTCCCCGCTCTGCTCGTCGAGGCGCTGCTTCTTCGTCTTTGCGCTGTGAGTGTCCTTACTCTCAGCGGTATTCGCAGCGTGTAGCTGCCTCAACTCCCCCCCCCCTACGCTTTCCACCCTTTCAATATCGGAAAGGATATATGTTCGATGCGTCCATCGTACAGGTCCTTCGCGAAGCGCATCCAGCCCATGACTGGAAGCGACGTCAACTCCGACGCACGCATCGGAGGATTCACCAGTTGCATTGACCGGTACTGGAGACCTGTACGGGTCCGACTCAAGACGTTCAACGCTGCGACGCACGACGTCATCACCGATGTCTGCCCGGCAGACATCGTTCAAATAGCCTCGGTCCCGGACCGAGCCTAGCACAGCTTTTGTCGCTTTCGTCGTCTTTTGTTCTTGTGAAGCCCGGCCTCACATGTTTCTCGTCCAGGTCCGGCCTTGGACGGATTTTCGTTGTAACCGTCGGCGGATTCTTTCCGCGGACGCGAATGATCAAGCCCGGCTTGATTGCATTCCGCTTCGTCGTGCGGTCCGGCTGCACGCGAGCACGCAAGCGTTTTCAGTGTTGGACGTTTGCAACCGCCAACACGGCTTGCCGCGTCGTCACCTCGTCGCCTTTCGGCGGAGGCCCCTCTCGATGTTGATTTCGAGTTTGTGTCGACTCCCGGGGTCGATACGTCCTTGTTACCTCGACGCATTTCGGCGGAGCCCTTTGTGATTTTTTATCTAATCACAACCGTGCCAACTACCGGAGCTGGCATGCCGACATCACAGCTACTGTCTGTAGCTGGATTGCCTTGCACATCTGATGCATCCGTCCCCGGGACGCATAAGATCTACGCGAACCTGAAGAAGTGTATCTTCGGGGCGAGCGAGATACCCTTGGGTGTCTCGTCGGGAAGAACGGCGTACGCCCTGACCCAGAAAAGGTCAGAGTGATCAATAAATGGCCTATGCCATCCAGCGTGAAGGAACAGAGCCGGTTCCTTGAACTTAAGTTAAGACAATCGACGACTTTTTTTAAAGTCGTAATGCGGGTCAAGTGCGGGAATCAAAGTCACCGCACAGCGCACCAACGTTCTGTGTCAAGAAGCCACAGAGCGGATGGCGCATCGTTCATGTTCAACAAGCTGAGCGATGCGACGATACCGGCGCAGACTTCGATACCACGAAAAGGTGTTATCATCGATTCGATGACCAAGGGCACCATCTACGGTGCTCTTGATCTGCGAGACCGGTTCTATCCGATCCTGATGCGTGAGAGGGACATTCCTCTCACGGCGATGAGCAATCCAAGCGGTATGTTTTGAGAGTGGCTCGTAACGCCACAGGGACTGAAGAGCACCCCTACAACCTTCAATAGATGTGCTACACATCTATTGCGCTCAGTGCGTGACTTCGCACCGAGCTACTTCGGCGACGTGTTCGTACACAGCCGGGCTGTGGACGAGAAGATTGACATTGAGGTGCACAAAGAGCACCCCGTCAACTGCTAGGGCTTATGCGTAAAGACGCAGCCCCGTGACAGCTATTGTCTGTGACTTGAAGTTCTTTCATACTTGATCGATCACCTCCCCGAGTTGATACGGTCATTGAAGTATGAACGTGTCTCAAATCGGAAATCAGATTTGAGACAGACCAACGACTGCCTCAGTCGTTGTGACTTGTGAATGTGCACCGGAGGCTGCATCGTAAGATGCTGCCTCAACGGTGGGTTCGGATGCACCTCGCGGTGCATGCGTGACACTGAGAGGGTCATCGCTCTCTGTCGCGTTACGTCCGAAGTCTACACGTGTACACTTCTCCCAGTTGATCACTGGTTCATGCCGTACAAGCCACGGCATGCTTAATTGTAAGTCAAACTTATCGTCCAGCTCCAGGAAGATGAGATCTTCCACAAACACCCGGTGTTTGTACGAGAAGCGCACGCGTACTACGCGCTTCTCCGTTCTGACGATGGCACCTGTTGCCAACCATGCCTCCAAAATACTTCGAGGTGTTTTAACTTCCTCGAGGTTTCGTTTCAGGAGACTTTTGAGTCGAACAAAGTTGTTCGACACACCTGAGTCAACCAAAGCAAGAAAAGAGTCTGCTCTCTTCGACGTCACTTTCAGGATGACAAGATTTGGCTTGTCATCTTGCTTCTAGCAGCGAGAATCCCTCTCGCGGGGGCCGCAGTCCTCAGAGTCGCGTGTCCGTTGTAGACACGCGCGACGGCAATACCAGTAGGGCGCGGGGCGCCCTACTGGTTCTGCACGTTTTCTTATTGCACGCGGCGATGCCTGGCATCGCCACGTCGGCCCCTGGCTGAGTGCATAGGCGCTGTGTACTCACGCGCAAAGTGTTCGGTGTACCCACATCGGTAACACCGCCCTTGTCCCCAATACGCGGTTGGCGTATAGCAGCGGAAGTGTTTGAGAGGTCCGTAGGCTATGGACCTCCCGCTCTCATCATCGGACGTGCCTTTCTCGGCACATTCGCATGCAGCTTAGCCTGCTTCAGGCTAAACGCCTCTTGCATCGCAGGATCAATCGCAGCTTCGAGAGTACTTGGGTACGCTAGGAAGAAATAGGGCTTAACCGACCCATCCTTCAAGCCCTTCATGAACGTGACAACTTTTGTCGCCTCGTCGATCGAATTGGTCATGATGTTTGAGACCAAGTACCGTGCACGTTGGGCGTGAGCATGAACGTCATGGTTACCTTGCTGCAGGTCGAGAAACTCTGATCTCGACCGGAACTTGTTCTGAGGGGCTCAAACGCTTGTCTGAGCTTCTCCTCGAATATCGCATACGTGCTAAAGCACGTATGATCGGCGGCCGTACGCCCAGCTCCTCGCTCGTCCATAAAGGCATGACATTGCGAGCGCAACCTTCGATGGCTCGTCAGTGTCGAGTTCAACAAGCCATCGGAGAAGAGGCTCGCCCTCTTCCCTCTTGTAATTGCTCTCGTGCGGTTTCAACGACTGTTGTCCCAGACGACACTTTCGTAACAGCAGCGGCATCGCGCTGCTTGCTCATGATGAATCGCAGAGCAACACCGTGTTGCTCTGTCGGCGACAGCGTACGTAGCATTGTCGCTACAGCTGCCTCTCCAATGCGTGTCGACAGTCTTAGGAGAGCTTCCCACTCTGGATCCGCCAGATGGGGACAGTCTGCATGCACAATGTGCGTGGCAGAACCATTTGGGCATCGCATGGACGGATTACTGTTCATGGGTTTGTTCTCCGCCCTGTGTTCGTATTCCATACGAACTCGTTGGTTAGTCGGTCGTTGGACGGACGTAATGGGCCCACTATTTCGGCTTACACGCAAGCGCACGTGTATGAGGAAGCGTAAGTTGCGTTCACATAGATTAACTATACTTTCGTCCGACAGTATAGATTTACTTAAAAAAGAAAGCAAAGCCGATTTCTGGTAAAATGAAAACTGTTTATTTGTTTTGTTTGGGGTTTCCTTCTAATCTAATATTCTAAATGAAATGACGAATGGTTGACATAATCCTATTATTCTAATTAGTTGAAGATATTGACTTTTAACCAATGAATGCCTTGAATGCATGCAGACAAACAGTCTGTCATATGTAGCCATTGGTGTATCTTACACCAATGTGGAAAGCCGCTTTCGTAACGGAGTGGCTGTGTAGCCACTTGCGTGTAACCCCGTTACAAGTGTTGCTGTGCATCTTCCACTGGACCAAGACATCAAACGAGCGTCCACGCTCTAAGCGAATTAGAAGCAACGGGTAAGAGGGCGCCGGCGTATTTAACGGTGCACTGGTGGCAACCAGCTTGGACACAATCGGCGCACGTGCAAAGACCGCAAAATTGGCACTTAGTTGTATTAGATGCACCTACATGGGCACTTTGAATACATTTTACAACGTGACCGGATCAATGTGCATTACGTTTTTAAAAACACATGTTGATTAGCATGGCGTAGAGATCGTGACCACCTACCGATTCAGCATTGAAAATGTTAAAACACACCGA